TGTTTGCTAGAAAGTTTTCATGAAAATGTGTATTTGTATTCTGGTAATGATAGCATTAATTTGATAAAGACTTTGTGTAGGACAAGATAATCTCATCTTTAATTAAACTTAATAAATAAATGAAACTTAATTCCAACATTTAAAAGGCCTTCTTAAGAGTACAAACTAATGCAAATAAATTATTAAGGCTAAATTTCTAGGAAAAGAAAACAGGACAGATTGTGTGTGAGTGTGTATACACACATTGTATAGACAAATAGCTATAAACCCATGAAATACAGAATGAAGGAAGAAGTTTGTATAATTTCCCTCAGTTGCCAAAAGAAAAGTACCAATAGCACTTGATAGATTAACTCGACCTGTGCAAGCAGCGGTGGGATCAGTATTTTTCCCAAGTTGTAATTATTTCTTTTCAGCTGTGGTTCTCCTTTCACCAGTGTTTCACCTTACTCCATCAGTATCTTCTAGAGCAGCTAGTATCATAAAATCATAGCATCATTTAAGGTTGGACCTCCAAGACCATCAAGTCCAACCTTTGACCAAATACCACCATGCCAACTAAACCCTAGCACTAAGTGCCACAACCAGCTGTTTCTTAGTCACCACCAGGGATGGTGACTCCAGCACTTCCCTCTGCAGCCCATTCTAATGCTCAACCACCTTTCCAAAAAAAGGTGAAAAAATTCTTCATTATATCCAACGTGGACTTTCCCTGGTGCAGCTTGTGGCCATTTCCTCTTATCCTCAACCCTCTTTATTATCTTTCACAGTGGTGGCTAGATTGAGTTCTAGCTGAGCTTTCACCTTCTAATTTTCTCTCTACATGACCCAATGACATCCTTGTATTCTTCCTGAGTTGCCTGCCCTTTCTTCCAAAGGTCATAAACTCTCTTTTTTTCCCCCCCCTGAGTTTCAGCAAAACGTCCCTATTCAGTCAGGCTGGTTTTCTTCCCCACTGACTCATCTTTTGGCACATAGGGACAGCCTGCTCCCTAGCCTTTGAGATTTCCTTCTATCTAGATACTATTGTTTTTAAGGGGTGCAGTATGGCAGTAGCAGCTTCCCCTTGAACACAGTAAGATAACTAAACAAAATATTCAGTGCCTAATTGGAAACATGGGATACCAAATACATTTTAATAAAGAATATCTATAAAACAAAAGCAAGTCCATCAAAGTTTAATAGTTGCAGAACCAGAATATGCTGAGCCCTTGCTCAGCAGGAGCAAGGAGGCTCAAGCTCAGCTGCAGGCTGTCTGCAGACCCAGACAGGGAGCACTAACTCAGCTCGTGGTAAATTATTGGGTTTAAGGTTCACTCTTAACCTCCCAACTTCATATCCGCTATTGTAACATGACAGGAAAAGGCAGTTTCTTTAAATATCAACAAGCTCAGTTTTAGTGTTGATTCTTGTTGTGAACCCTAGGGCTATCCTGCATCCTCAGAAATGTCATTTCTACCCCACCATCCTACTCCCAGCAGCCCAAGCTGGGTTTTTGTTTTGCTAGCTGCAGCTCACATTGGCATTTTTAAAATCCCAGCCAGAGCTCTGCTGCACAAGGAGCCCTGTTTTTGTGCCAGAGGCACTGTTGCCTTGGGGGCAGCCACACACTGCTGGCCCCTGGGCACATCATGAAAGAAGCTGGTGGGTCCAGGCATCTCCAGGGGTGTGGAGGACCAAAGCTGCACCCTTTCAAGGCTCAGATGTGAGAAGAGCCAGGATGCACTGGGGATGCAGAGCATTAGAGTCAAACACATGGGGCACCTGTTCCCCAGGCAGATACCTCTCATGAGTCCTCTTTCCTTTGTCTGTTTTCACACAGGACATCTGGGGTGTGTAGTCTGTCCGCCCCAATTTTTTTCTGGGCTCAAGATGTATTTCAGAGCTCCACTTTCCTGGCCTTTATTTCCTTTCTGTTTTCAGTCAGGCATCTCTACTTATATGGGATGTACAGGCATCACGATCTGCCTGCAACTGCAGTTCAAATCTTGCCTTTTGGAGGTGAGAGTATTCAAGCTGAATTTGTGGGTTTCCATGGTCTTAAGCAGAGAAGGCCATCAAACCCACATCTTATGTCCTGGATGAACTCTCTAATCTTTAGTACCTCTCATCCAACTTGATGTTTGTTGTTTGGTGGGGTTTTTAATGAAAAAAACATAAAAACTTGATCTCTTCTCAAATTTATAAGTATAGTATTGGTGTCTACCTCCAAAGAAAGTTATGGGCAATGGTTTTGGCCACTCCATCCTCAGATTACAGGTTATTTTAAATCCCATCTAGAGATTTGTAACTCTTTTCCAAGTGTGGGACAGGGAAACCAAGCCCATAACTGTGTTCCAAATATCATTCCTGGGACCTAAAATTAAATATTGCAAAATATTTGCCCACATGTTTTGCCTAGTTTTCACCACTGATATTGACCTTTACTTTAAATTAGTTTTCTCTAGTCCTCATAGATACTCCTGAGATAAAAAAACCGATAAAGACATTAAGGACACTGTTCATTCACAGCTCGAATATAGTCTGTTTGTGCTATCTTAATGTTGAAGAAGTAATACTTACAGCGGGCTTTCTTTTCAGCCAGGAATGCAAAATACCCAACCCAGATGCAGACTGGGCCGTGTTGCATTATTGCTTGGGACCAGTAGATGGCAACCACCCATTGCAGTGTCAAAGGTAGGTGAGAATGGTTCGGGTAGGGGATGCATTAGGTGACAGCTTGAGCAGCAAAGCTCTGCTACTCCACACGAGAAGGCAGAACTTGTATTTTTACTCCTTATTATACCTCTCCTTTTGGGAGGGGAGCAGTGAGTTGCCCTTTTCCATACTCAGTTTTGACAAATTATAATTGTGACAATTAATTTGACTAAACTATCTGCTGCTGCTCCTATCTGAGGCTACTCTTTACTGCTAATATCAGTCAAAAAAAGAACAAGACAATGGGAAAAAAAATCCAAATCAATCAGACTACCTTAGCTTCCACACGAATAGCCTCAAGTTCTTACCATTATTAATTAGATTCCTTATTACTTTAGGTGGAAGCAGTTAGAATTCAGTAACAATGAATCTGGGATTGGAAATAGACTTCCCTCTAGGAATTGACTGAGGCTATTGACATACCAGTTAATTAATTCTTATTATCTGAGGGGTCTTACAGAATTTTTTTTTAATATGGTCAAGCTGGAAGACATTCTAATTTTTTTCCCCTACAACATTAGGTTAAAAGTTATTCATTTCTAGGAGCAAGAACAGGAAAGGTTTGAAAACATTCCCTCCAAGAACCTTGCATTTACACTTCAGACCAGAAGTTCCTTCATTAAAACAGAAGAAGAATGAGAGAAACATATGTATAGCTTTACTAGAAGGATACTTAACTACCTGTAGTCACATTAAATTTTCTTTAGTGTTGATTTGACCATACTTTTTGTGCCTTTGTTTTCAATAACGATTGGAATACATAATACATGTATTGATGCACACAGGAGTGTCAGTACTGCAGGAAAACAACTCAGACCTTCGGACCCCTGAAGGATTCCAGCATTGCCTTACAGCGTCGTTTGCAGTTTAAAGAAGAATACACTACAAATAGCTAAACCAGACAAGAAGAGCACTGTCACTTAGTAAAAGCAAACCAAAATACATTGCATTAGTGGGATGCCTCCCTCCAAGTTCTCAACCACTTTGCAAACCATTAACTTGAAATGTGTTAATTTGCACCTTGCAGTACAAGGTGTATGTTTATTCTCAGAACTCACACCTTTGCTGGGAAAGCTTAAAAAACCTACTTGACAGATAAAGTATAAGCTTTCTCTTTTGTTACAGCTACCCCTTGATCAGCTGTGAATTTCTACAAGGGACTTTGAAATTAGGAGAAAACCAGCTGGCATTCATTTCCTAGTGAATACTAGAGAGGTGACATTAGGAATAGCTTCTGAAATCCTTTAGGAAACCCATCAAACTTTTTTCATTATTTCCTTAATGATAACATTTATACTCTAAACCCCTCTACTTTTTAAATGAGATTTGAGAGCTTTTTTCTTCTTTAGAGAACTTGAAGTCCTTCAACCTGATGATAAAAATTGAGTACTTTATTTGCCTTAGCATGAGAAACTATACGACTTGTATGTGGTGTTTTTCTTGTGGACCCACGAGATTTTTTAAGGGTCCAAGAGTTACCTTGGACTCTTCTTGCAGAGAACTGCAAAGCTAGTTCATTTTTTTTTTTATTTGTTTTTTACAAAAAGGCAAATAAGGAGAAGTCTAAATGATTTAGAAGGAATTTTTAGAGAAACAATAGCTCTGCTTATAGTCATGCTTTTTTTAGCTCAAATATTTGAGAAGGACAGATAGTTTTAAAGATTCAAGGTCTGTGGTTGCCATGAAGGGCAGAGAAAGGTCTCACTGTAATAGTCATATTTATAGCAGAACCTGCCTCAAGGTCTGGAATTATATGTGTTAGATATCTAAATAAGGGTCAGGGGTATCTTCAAAAGCTTGTACTATGTTTCTGTCATGTGTGCATTGAAATGTGCTTACAATGAGCTGTGACAAAGAGCTCTGAAGATTGTGGTCCAGTAGGAGTGTGCACACCTTATCTACAATGGTAAAAAGGCTCTGGAAAAATGTAATTGTAGCCTTTTCATGCTTCTCCACCTCCACTTCCTAAAATTGAGAAAAGCCCACATTTCCCCCTACTACTTTGCAGAAAAAGTGTCTCTGGACTGTTTTTAGCAAAACCTTTCTGTTTCTTTGATCAAGACACTGGAAATGTACCTTGAGCAAAGCCTTAGCATGTTGGCCAGCTGACTTGTTTGTTTGATCATGTTACAGTGAAGAATGAAAATAAGATTGAGCACTGAAGCAAGTGCTTGAACATTGACTTTTCAGCAAAGAATAAAGTACTTTATTTGCATGGGGACTTTGCTTACCTGATCCTTATTTCACATGCTGTCTGGGGCATGATTTAAAGGAGAGATAACCAGGATCACAGTCCATTAATGTGCTGAGTGATTTTGAGGTGGTGCTGGATACTATCCATTACCATTACTTGCAGTGAGATTCAGGGATAATCAAACTTGGCATAATAAATTACCAAGATAAGATAGGTAATGAAAGAATGTGAAATGCACAAGATAGGTTTGTGCTTCTCAACAGCGTTCAGTATGACTTTTGTAATTATTAACTAAACCTTAAAGCCTGGGGTAGTCCTTATTCAAATGCCTTAATCCTTTTTCAGATTCTCTCCTTACAACAACGTCTCCTGTCTCCTCACATTTTCACGATGAGGGAAAGGAAGGCAACAGATCCACTCCATTCATCCACAGATCTGACTGAAGGGAACGAGAAGTTAAGACTGAAACAAGAGGTTGGCCTGATTAGTGGCGTGTCATTAATTGCAGGTACCATGATAGGCTCGGGGATCTTTATGTCCCCTGAGTGGGTACTACACCACATGGGGAACCCTGCCAGCAGCCTGCTGATCTGGGCAGCATGTGGTCTCCTGGCCATGTTTGGAGCCTTGTCGTACGCTGAGCTTGGAACAATAATTAAAGAGTCTGGAGGAGAATATATTTACATTTTGAGGATTTTTGGTTCCTTTCCTGCTTTCCTTTTCGCCTACACTTCTGTCATCCTGGTGAGACCAGCTGGTTTGGCAGCTGTCTGTCTGAGCTTTGCTGAGTATGCCATTGCACCGTTCTACCCAGGATGCGCGTCTCCGCAGGTTGCCGTCAAATGTACAGCTGCTGCCTGCATCCTGATTTTAACTATCATCAACTGCCTCAACGTGAGGCTGGCAACATCTGTTATGAACATTTTTACAGCTGCCAAACTCTTGGCTTTGTTGGTGATTGTGGTGGGTGGGTTGGTGCTGCTTGCCAAGGGACAAACTCAGAGTTTTCAGAATGGTTTTCAAGGCACCACTGCAGGGATTGGGGCAGTTGGAGTGGCGTTTTACCAGGGGCTCTGGTCCTATGATGGATGGAACAACCTGAATTATGTAACTGAGGAACTGAAGAAGCCTGAGGTGAGTGAGTGAGCGAGCAAGCTGGGTTTTACTTTATCCTGCTGTTAATATGTTTGATTCTATCTGTGATTGTGTCAAGAGTGGTAATCAAGGGATTTACAGTGAGGGTGGTGAAACACTGACACGAGAGACACTGTGGATGCCTCATCCCAGAAATGTTCAAAGCCAGCTTGTGTTGGGCTTTGAGAGCTTGGTGTAGTGGAAGGAACCCCTGCTCATTTTATGGAGGTTTGAACTAGATAATCTTTAGGGTCCCTTCCAATCCAAACCATTTTGTGGTCCTATAAAAGTCCTAAAATTACCCATTGACTAGAAATTATTAGGCAGCACTTGGATGCTTTGGGGATGAAATTTTTTCTTAGTGTTTAGAGGATGTCACTGTAGACACCTAGATTTATTCAGAAAAACACTCACTGCTACAATCCATAAAGGATGCTTAGCAACATGTATTTTCTTAAAGACTTGATCCATAATCTATGCTTTAGAAAACTACTTTATCTCTCCCTGTTGCATCGAGGAGCAACTTCAGAGCAAGCCAAGCCTCACTGGAAAGGGAATCTAACTGTGAATGATCCCTGTCTTTAAACATCTATATTGTAGCATTGTGCAGTCCATGCTATAGGCACTGAAGTAGCTCACCTGCATTTCACATCACCTCCTCTGTGCCATATTACCCCTTTTCACAGATCAAACACTGCAGCAGTGCAAGAGTTGTGTGAGTGCAGAGTTTATAGAGTGTGCTTTGTACCAGTGCAGCACACAAGATCCTACAGATCAAATGCAAATATACAGTTAAATATTAACCTGAATGGCAGCAAAGATCCCAGGGCCACTCTCTCCCACAGGATCATGAAAAATGATATTCAGGCCCTTCCAGAGTGGAGACACCACCATTAGGAATTGCTGTATCTTCTCCTGTATTGAGAATGGGGAATGTAAAAACTGATATTTCAGGTTCTTAGATGCATACAGTTGCCATTTACCAGTATTTTAAGTTGCATAAGACACTCTTGATTTTATTGAGTCTTAAAATGATCCTGTGGTGTTCTAAGACACAATCCTGCCACTTAGAAAAAAGAAATATTTCCTTCCTAGAGCAAATCCCCTTTGAGATTTTGAAATCAACCCCCTATTTTGATTTAAACTGTAGAGTAGTTAAATGTGATACAACACACACTAGAACTTTTACCATGGCAGTGAGGTGTTTATGGGAAGATGCACACCAGGAGACATAACATACTATTAACAAATAAATCAATAGTAAAATAATCAAGAAGTATGCAAAAGGCATCTTGGGCAGCTACAAATCAAAATCTTTTAAATAAGATTTGGTGGGTTCTCTTTGTTTGAATTATTTTGTTTGGTTGGCTGTGGGGTTTTTTAGACTAACTTTGGAACTGTACAAGACAGGCGTGAAAGCTGCCATGTGAATCTGGATTTATGTCTTGTTCTGAGAAAAGGTTTAGGGAGTGGAAGAATTTGAATGAGAGACGTGGGTGGTGGCAAAACCAAACCAAACAAAAAAAGCACAGTGCTGCACCTAACACTGCTGTCATCCTTTTTCCAGGTGACCCTTCCCAGAGCTCTGATGATTGCCATTCCTTTGGTTACGTGCCTGTATTTGCTGGTAAACGTGAGCTACTTGGCAGCCATGACTCCCTCTGAGCTGCTGTCTTCAGGAGCTGTGGCTGTCACCTGGGGGTGAGCTCTGCACGGGGCAGCATGGGCAATGCAGCTCTGAGAAACACTGGTTCTCTCCTGAGTTTCAGGAGATTTAAATGTTATTCCCAGAGGGAATGGCAGCACTGCATTGGTCAGGCCAGGAGGACCTGTCAGGCAGAGGACTGAAGCACATTGCTGTCTGAGAGAGCTGGGACTGTTCAGCCTGGAGGAGAAAAAGCACTTCCCAGTGCCCAAAGGCAAGAGCTGGAAAGGAAGTTTTTACAAGGGCATGTAGAAGTAGGACAAGCAGCAATGGCTTCAAATTGAGAGTAGATTTAGATTAGACATAAGGAAGAAATTATTTACTGTGAGGGTAGTGAGGCACTGGCACAGGTTGCCTAGAGAAGCTGTAGATACCCCATCCCTGGGCTAGTAGAAGTTGTCCCTGCCCATGGCAGGGGCTTGGAAGAGGATGATCTTCAAGGTCCGTTCCAAACTGTTCTATGATTCTATAATTCTGTGGTTCTGTGAGGCCAAGGCTGACCAGCTCCATCTGGCCATGGTCTCCAAGGTGCATCTAGGCTGCCAAGATGGCACATTCCTTACTCCCCATTCCCTTTGTTTATACTGGGAACCTGTAACTCCCCCAACTCATGTTTCACCTCATGGGAAGTGTCCGTATAGGAGAGGTGAAGGTGACACCAGGAGCATCTCCCCACAGGCACTGGGAATGCAGCAAGGGTACATGGGCTTGGGGACTGAGAAATGACTCACATTTTAGATATTGCCAGGGAAATGAAGAGGGCAATGTGCTGCCCTGCTAATGCAGGGCCAGTGGGTTGGGAGTGAGACAGGCATCAACTTGCCAAATCCTGTCTACTTGGCACCTGGAATTTAGAGGAGACCAGAGTCTTTTGTCTGAGTTTCTCCATCTGTGGGGAAATGGAAGATAGCATTGATCTCAACAACACCTTTAAGAGCTGTTATACACAGGTTGGGTAGCCTTTGATAACTGTAACTTCAATTGGCTTGTGTTTTTCCAGAGCTGCACAGAAACAATTTCTACCTTTCATCAACCTGAAGTATTTGGTGACATTAAACAGTTTCTGTACAGGACAAGGAATTTAGGAAGAGAAGGAAGGGACCAGCATGAGAGGTATAGACACCATCAGTGATTTTCCACCAGAACATCCAGCCTTAGTCTAAGCATTTCCAAAGACACAGAATCCCTGATAGCCCTAAATGAGCTGTCTGGCAGAAATTATGATATGGTGTATCCACAGATTATGTACTGCTCTTCCTAAAAAGTCAGCAGCAGCTTTGCTTCTGTGTGCATTTCACAAGATCTCCCATTTGAAGATCTGACTGAGCTCTTGCTGGATGTGTTCTCTAATAGCCTTTCACATCGTTATGAGTAGGAGCTTTTAAAGGTCTAGTGCTTTGTTTGAGCATGTCACAAAGCCTCACTAAGCTGCAGTGTCACGAACTTTCCCTGCACTTCCTTTCCCATCATTCCTAATTAACAAGTTATTTGTGAACTTCCTCCTTTGTAACACATATCCTTTTCCTCCTGATTAACCTTTTCACCCAAGAGTGCAATTCAGGAAGAAATATTGAACTAGTGACAGGAGAGCTGGGCACTCAAAGGCTGGGGAGCCAGTCTGAGGAGGAGGTGAAGTTTGTGGCTCACAAGCAACACATGCAGCTATTCAGGCCATTAAGAAAGAATGGGAGGAGTATAAAGAAGCCAGAGGAGGACTTGTCACATTTAAATGCATTTATTCCCTATATAAGAGGAAAACTGCCAGAAAGAAACATTGTTCAGTGGTGACAGGTGCAGCCACAAAAGGAGCTCAGGAAACTCTTCACAGCATTTCTGTGATGACAGTGATTTAACAGCAACCACAGGCTTCAGTTTGTCTGTCAATAAAGTGATCTAAAAAAACTTTGAGTTTTGGATTTTTGCCAATTAGATAAACAGTGTTTGTGTATGTGATAATTACCCCAAACACCAGCATGTATTACTCAGTTAATACTCTTAATGCTGCTTCATTCCAGAAGACAGTCTTCACTTTTAGGTGAGAAAACTATCATTCCTTCCAAATGTTTACCTTGAACTGTGTAACAAAACCAGAAATGTCTGAACATGTTGTAGAACCAAACATCTGGAATTCAAACCATTTTTTTGGCTTAAGTCAGATTCACAGAAGAGCAGTAATAGGTGTATGTGAGATTAAAGGGTTAAAATCCTATGCATATTCAGGAAGAGGTTGTAATACAGAATATTTCTTCCAGTGTGATGGGAACAAATTTTTGTGATTTCTGAGCTAATATTATTGGTTGTGATAGCAGTATCTTCAGGCGTTTTGCCACAGCATCAGTACACAAAAAAGGTGGTTTTGCCTGTTGTGACCTCTTTGTACACCATTGCAGTGTGGACAGAATATATATATTTATAGCAGGAAGAAAATCTGTCAGACAAGATAAACTTTCTAGTCACTAAATATTATGGGAATTGCAAGAAGACTTTAAATCTTTAGAAAGACTTCGGAAAAAGATTCTGTATACTACAGAAATAATGGAGGGATGTAATCTGTCTGGTTCTACAGTGTGTATTCAGTACATCTACGAACTGCATCTCATGCTGTGAACTCTTTCCCACCTCAGGGACAAAGTCCTGGGCAGCTGGGCATGGCTCATCTCCCTGTCGGTGGCCCTGTCTACGTTTGGTTCCTCGAACGGGACGTTCTTCAGCGGAGGCCGCGTGTGCTACATTGCTGCCAGGGAGGGCCATATGGTGAGCACAAAGAAAGGGGCCTGCCTTGCTCTGAGCAACTTCACCTTCTTGTGACACCAAAGCAGAGAGGAAAACACTGTGTATGTTCAACTGGCAGAGTGATAGCTCTTCAAGGGGTTTGCTCCTTGCTCATTAATCCCCATCTCTTTCAAATGGAAGATGTATGTTGTCTCTGGGCTTTCTTCTGCAATCAGGTGCTTTCAAAAAGATAACATATTCACATCTAGCCTGGATTTTAAGAACAGCTTTGAAATGAACCACTCAAATATTGCTGCATTGGAGCACCAGGCACAGACTGTGGGGTGACCTAGTCAATACATCTGCCAGGAAAGGAGAACCTGGCCATGCTTGTGTGTTGTGAGGCACCTTTGCTCACACTGGGAAGGTAGCCCAGCACCAGCCAGCTGCCTTTGCAGCTCTTTTACTGACTACACAGGTTGGTCTCTGGGGTGATCCAGCCTTCACATGGGTACTGCAGCTTAGATTCAACACAGGATATCTCTGCTCTTCAAGCTTCATGGCAATTACAAGGTGACACCAAGCCTTACATCTCTCCTAGCTTGAGTTTATCATTGGTTTTGTTAGGTGGGCCAAATCTGGTAATCCAGTGGAGGTCAGGCTGCTGCAGCTCCCTCCTCCCTGGTCCAACCAATAAGTCCATCATCTACTCCCAGCAGCCACACACACACAAACACAGGTATGAAACATGTTTATATACACACATACATGTATAGCTGTGTATATACATACAGAGCCAGCAGGGAACATAGAGCTGCACATACAGACATACCTGGGGCTCACACAAACACCAGCACTAACAACACCGAGGGCCTTTCATTCCCCTTCTGGCTGATCAGGGGTCTGTTAATGAGAAATACATATAAAACATATATGCAGTGTGGGTCCCTCCAGCAGCTGGGCTCAGATACTCAGCCCCTGGATCCCAGTCTCCCCAGTTACTGGTGTCTGGGCAAACAAGCCCCCAGGGTTGCTGTCACATCCCAGCTGCTGATACAGACCCCCTCACTCAAAGGTACACCTCCACAAACACTTAACCACACAGCTCCACAAAGAGGAGCAAAAAGGCTGAGCTGCATTTGTCCTCTGTTTTGAGCAGGCCTCTTGTGTTCCTCCTGAATCTCTCTGCTTTTTTTGGTCCTTCCCACCCACAACATCTGGCATTTCTGTTCCTCAGGTGTGAAGGCACTGAAAGAGGTTGCAGAGAGAGGTTGTGGATGCTCAGTCCCTGGAAGTTTGAGGCCAGGTTTGATGGGGCTCTGAGCAGCCTGGTCTAGTGAAAGGTGTCCCTGCCTACAGCAGGATGTTGGAACTAGATGATCATTAAGGTCCCTTCCAACCCAAATCATTCTATGAATCTATGATTGCACACCAGCTCCACTCCTGGTTCATAGCAGGGAATCTTTTATGCGTATGAATGACCAGGTTGGTGGAGATGACTGGGCTGGTGGTTGCTGGTTTTGGTGGTTCTTGGGTTTAGTGGTTACTGGTTCCTCGACTTCTCTCTCTGAGGATAGTGCCTGCTCTATCATGGCAAGCTCTGTGCTGAGAAGTGACAGATGGTCTGAACCTGACCATACCAGACTATGAGCTGAATGACATTTATGACATTTCTCAAACACTCATCTCTAGCTAAGGTCTTTGCATAATATTTTGGTTGGGAATTAAAAATAAAATAAAATAAGATTTTAAAAGGAGCCTTCTCATTAAACTTTTCCAATGAAACAAACAATAAAGAGGCTACTAGTCCTGAAACAAATCCTTAAACAATCCTTTTTAATTTATATTTACATGAATGTTTCAGGAATAGTCCTTGTCTCATTTTCCAGTCATCCTAAGAGAAGTGAAGTCCCAGAGAGACATGACAGAGGGCAGAAGAGTGGGCCCATGGCAAAAGGTCCTGATGGTGGTCAGGAAAGCTCTAATTTGACTCATTCTGTCATATCAGTAGTTTGAAAACCTCATTTTGCCTGCTCAAACTGAAATCAGTGAGACACAATAAAAACACCCTTGAAGGAGGTTTCTGTATTTACACTCCTCGGAGTTGGTTTGGTTTCATATAATGCTTGTTTGCTGATTATGAATGGCTCTGGCTGCAGGCAAAGCTCCCACCAGCATCTGGCGGGGATGAGTAAGGACCTCTGAGTCCATGAAGTGATGATGCAGGGCTTTGCTTTGTTTTTCAGCCAGACATTCTGTCCATGGCTCACGTGCGACGCCTCACGCCCTCCCCTGCTCTACTGTTTACATCTGCAATGTCTTTAATAATGATAATATCAGGAAGCTTCACCAGCATCGTCAACTTTTTCAGGTGTGTGTGTGTCAGGTTTCTGTTTGCATCCCCTGTGCTCCTGGGGTTTACAATATTTATAAGTATTTCCTTGCATTATTTTTTTGAGCTTGGAGTATTGCTTTCTAACCAATACTGGGGAGAGGAGGAGGGAAGAAAGAAAAGAAAGAGATTGGTACCAGCACCTTTGCAATGCATGAGTGCTCCTGTCACTAGAGACCTAACTGAATGTGATTCATCCCCACTGAATCAGTAATGTTCAGATAATTCTAAAGTTCTCATTGTTTGTGCTAGAAAGGAAATTAATGGAAGAACTACTAAATTTATATCAATATTCACCTTTTTAATTGGAGATATGAACATCTGGGATCTGTAAGGCAGGACTGACATTCCTGGATGATCTCACCCCACGTTTAATGCTGTCTAATATTTTTTCTTTTCTTCAAGTTTTATGGCATGGCTTTTCTATGGAATGACTATTTCTGGGCTCCTGTATTTAAAAATCAAGAAACCAGAACTACCAAGATCTTACAAGGTAAAGTAATAACATAAAACCCTCAAATATTTTCCTGTATTGTTCAAATGACTATGAGAACATTTACAGAATAGAGTGAGCACTGGTGGCTTACAGATTCAATGTGGTTGTCCTTCCTTTTTTAATTTCAAGTTTTGTGTCAGCAAAGCCAACAAGGGATGAGACAGTGTTAACATACAGGCATAAGTCAAGGTTGAATTCTCTGTCTTGATAAGCTAATAATGCCCTGCCTCCTCACTATGAAAATATGTCTACCATATCCTCTTTCTTTCTAAAATATTTAAGTGGTAAAAGAAGGATGTTCCTGATCAACCATGTAATCACCTGTTTATGCTCACAGACTTTGGGCAAACTCCTTGGAGGTTAGCCCAGGTGCAAGAACCTTGCAGAGGGAAAAATAACTTAGGTGGAGTGCCCCAGGTTCTTTGAGATAACATAGGGACAGGTTTGTTCCCCACAAAACAGATACAAGGAGGGAAATCGAGAGTTACGTGTTCTTCCCCTGCCATGAGTGAGCTGATCTTCAGTGCTTCCTCAGTGACTGAGGATTATTAATGAATGCACAAGCCACTCTCCTTTGAGGAAGGGTGGCTTCAAATTGAAGTTTAAATGCTTTCTGACCAGGCTTACAAAAACAGCCTCTGAGATTGCCTGTCCACCCGTCTGTCAACACATGGATAAAACTTTTTGTGCAAGAGGGCTAAGATACAGTTGATTTGAAAACAATTGCTCTGTGTTTTGTCTACAGCATGGCTTTTAGATGCAAGGTAGTAGGGAGAACAAGAACAGACCTGGCACTAAACCCAGTAGTTTGCATCTTCAGGTCTAGGAGGGCAGGAAAGACCAGGGGTTAAGGTGTGATATGGTGGTGTAGCTCTTGCAGGGATGTTCAGCCTTGGGGTGGGGGTAGGCTGGGAAACAGGATGTCTGGATTAATTGGTATTTCTAGGTAATACCTCAGGTTGCAGGAAGGTTTAATCTAAAATCTTTCTGCAGAAATTCCAGGGTTGCCCAGACACAGAGAGGCCCAGAATTACATGAGTCTTTATGCTGATGTTTTGCTTTCACAGGTCCCAATTATCATCCCCATAATTGTGCTGGTGGCAGCTGTGTACCTGGTGTTAGCTCCCATCATTGATCAACCCCAAATAGAGATCCTCTACATCGTGCTGTTCATTTTCAGTGGCATCATTTTTTATTTCCCACTGGTTCACTTTAAGTACCACCCTCGCTTCTTACAGAGAGCCACTTTACACCTCCAGTTGTTGCTGGAAGTTGCTCCAACTACCAGGGATGCAAACTGAGATAACATCCTTCTGGTGGGTGCTTGCACCTCATGGTTTATCCCAGCACCTTGGTTTTCAAGGCTCAGAAAATATTCTTCTGTAAAGAGCACTGAGTAGAATGTGAGTGACACTAAGTGTCCAGGTGAGATGGACTACAGCTGTGACTCCTCATGTTTCCCTAAAATTCTGGGGACGTTTTTCTCCTTTTCAGCTTTGCCTTGGCATTACATATGGATTCCAAATGAATATGTGCTTTTGTATTTTTCATCCCCAAAAGGGCTGTTTCTCAGGATCTTATCTCCTATTTCAAGATAAAATGCAGCAAAAGATAGACAATGAAATATTATTCATATAGCAGACTGAGTCCCATAGCCATTCCTGGCAATGCCTTTAATTATTTTCACCTTGTACACCTTTAATTATTTACACACTGTGGCTGCAGAGCTTCTCAAATCAATAAAGCAAGGGCTCACCATGGCCACAAGAAATAAACCCTTTTTCACTCAGGTATTCACCCTGGAAGATTATGCTTCTTCCAGTTCCAAGTGCACAGTCACAACAGTCCTTTCTCTGTCTCAGAAACCATCCCACATCTCCCACAGAAAACTCTCTGACATGAGACAAGAAGTGCTTTAAAGCTCTGTCAGTTCACTCAGTTGAGAATGCACTTGTCATCTGGGATCCATCCATTCAGGATGAGGATGCAAGCAGCATCACTCAAGTGCCAACATTCACACCTGTGCTTCCTGTGATCCCCTTAAGAAAAAAACCCTTATTTTGTGACAAAGTGAGGGGGGGGAAAAAAAATCAAAAAACCCTAGAGCACATGTACCAGCAAGATACTCTGACCAGGAATTAAAGAAACCACATACTGGGCTACATTAGGAGAAGTGTGGCCAGCAGAGCAAGGAAAGTCTGTCTGTATGGACTCAACCCCTGAAATAATGCATCTGGTGTTGGGCCCTGCTGTTCAAGGTGGAGTTATGAAGGCAGCTCAGAGCAGTGGTCACAAGCTGTAGCTTGAGATGTTCAGGCTGGGAAATGTGCCCCATGAGGGCAGCGGAGTTATGAAGACCACCTCAGCCCTTCTTTATAAGGCAGCTCAGAGCAGTGGTCACAAGCTGTAGCTTGAGATGTTCAGGCTGGGAAATGTGCCCCATGAGGGCAGTGCAGTGTTGGAGCAGTGTGCAGAAAGGTGGTGAGATCTCATTGCATTTTCTACCACAGCCATTTCCGCCAATCTCTGTGATTCTAAAGGCACAGCACAAAAGTCACAGGCTGTGCTCTCACCCACACCTAACACACTGAAGTCACTGTTGTTTCCCATTATCCTGAGGCACAGCTGGTTTTTTCCAGCTCTCGGGGAAGGAGAGGTATTATAAGCTGTTTTCTTCACATTTTTCCAGATGGTTCCAGGATGATACCTGTCATAGACTAAAAAGGTCTAGGAATTAGTCCTTAAAATGCTTTGTTAGAGTAGTGAAAGTTAACTTTCTGTCGGCATTCTTCTATAGAACCTGCTACCTTTTACCTAACCTGCTACCATCCTTGAACACAGGTTACTTGATCCTCCAAGCCTCTTCCAGCCCATCTCAGAATTGTGTATCTGATTACAATCTCTTTCTGCAATGTCACCCCTCCTGCTGCTCTGAGTGGTGATATCAGCAGCTACAGGGATGCATCAACAGTCTTTTTCCAAGGGTTAGGTATGATAATGGATAGGCCAGATGCCATTCATCCAAATCCTTAGCTTAAACAATGTTTAGGAGGATTTCCTTCCACTGATTTTTACTGGAGCTGCCAACAAAGGCCAATGAGGGAACAATTTTTCCTCTTGAATCCCTTGACAATATAAAATTCTTGGGCTACGTCTCTTAAAGGAGGGGATGTTCTCAGAAGGACTGATGAGGTCAGGAGCTCTAGGTTACCTTCCCCCGCACTGCCCCAGGCTCTTCATCTGATGTCAGGGAAACTTCTTAAAGGAGATATATCTCAGCTACTTACCTAAAAATTAGAATAATACAATTTCTCTGATTATAATTTTTTGGAAACAATCTTTTTCCTACCTATTTATGAAGCTTATCACACGGGGCTGTGCTCTAATAAAGAACATGAAAAGACTTAGCACTTTGAATAAATAGCCTTTATATGTTATTGGTTTGTGTATGGCTATAGGGGAACAGGAAAGCTGCAATTATCATACTCTGCACCAACCTCATTTTCTATAGATATTATTGTAACAAGATGTTCTTTTTTATTTATGTTGCCTCGGATTTGCAGGTGTTTATAATGCCAAAACAAGATGCTGAAAGCTCAGAGAATTCAAAGATAATTGCAATAAAATGGGCATTACAATGAAGTGAGTTAATGTGTCTGTTTCTGTTTTTCATCCAAGAAAAACAATTCCATAGAAATTTTACTGCATGATCATAAACAATCAGCACCAGGCTTATCTCTCCTTGGTCAGAAGGTTTAACAACGTGTGGGTGTTTATATGTGCGCACACTCATTTTTCAAAATGATTGCTTATCTATTCAGCCCCAGGATATGTAAATTGGAATCTCTTTTTCCTTCATGAGACATTTACAATAGAAGTGCCAGGAAGAGGCAGCACATCCTTACCACTTATTCCTGCAGCACAGTGGCAATGTGACAGTGGACTGAGCTCTGCACCTGCAGCTTGTACAGGTTATCCTACAAGATCTCATTGGTCCTGTCTGTTTCCAAAGCTCCAGATCCCTGTGACCTGTGCTTAGACCCTTTCTTCACGGGCTCAGAGGAAAAATGGACTATCAGCATTGACCTCAAGATAATCATAAGATCTCCACCTCTAGACCCTGAGTATAATTGAGTCCCATACTTCAGCTGGCAAACTGCAACAACCTGTTGGGAGCTTTACTTTGGTGCACAAAGCTGAATGTATTCTGGGCTTTTTCCTGACTTTCTCAGAAGCATCAGAGAAGGACTACACCTAGGGACAATAAAGGACAGTCCAGTGTGTGAGAGAGCACAGAAAATCCTCCTTTGGTGATCTTCTAGTCAGGCATGCTCATACGCCCAAGTTCAAGTGATTTCCATAATTCATGGTTGAGCACAAATTTCCAGTTGGGTGGGACAGAGCAGAATTCAAGATAACTTTAATTTTCCTCTGTTCAAGAAACACAGTTCACCCACTTGGACTGAGTGGGTTTATCTGAACAGTTCTCAGCCAGTGCAGAGGATTTGGTGTTTAGTCTCTCCTGCTCTTTGCTGGGACATAGGAAATAAAAAAAGACCTCATTGTGCTCTCTCAGCAGTGTTAAGTTGCTCTCCAGGTCATCACATTTAGGGGATGAAATAAATACAGTCAGCTCTGGGAATCACAGACCATTCCAGTGTGGGTTGGAACTGACCTCTGGAGGTCTCTTGTCCAACTTCCTTCTTGAAGCAGGACTATTATCGTGTAAGGTCATTTACCTGTGCCTCTGTCTCTTCATGTTTTGGAAAACACTGAGGATGGAGCCCACCATCTCTCTGCATCACTCTCTGGATAAAGAAATTTTACTAAAGTTCAGTCTGAACATCTCAAGCTGCAGCTTGTGGCTGTTGCCCTTCTCTGTATCATCTTCTACTGCCAAAGTGGTTGGTTCTATCCTTTTGGTAACTCTCTTTTTTGGAGCTGTAAGTTGCTGTTATGTTGCCTCTTTCTTTTTGCCAGACTCAACAAGCCCAACTCAAGATTTTCATGTAGGCAAATGCTCTGGACCTCTGACTTGGGAGTTTTTTGCGAACTTTCTCAGTTCCTCTGCTTTCCTTTTGAACTGGGAAGGGGTCAGAAAATTGAATGCAACATTCCAAGTGTGCCTTCACAGGTGTCAAATCTAGAGAGACACTGACATCCCTTAGGTACCTTTCCTAATGCAGGCCACTATGTGTAACCCTTTCAGTCTGTCACTTCTGAGAGCTTCAGCTGAAGCTTCAGCCTTAGTTGAAGGCAATGGAAAACCCTTACTTTGTACAGTTGGTGCTTTTATTAGAAACTTTGTCTAGGCTGTGATAAATCCAGCATCAGGATGACTCAGTCTAGCAGTGCAGGGGGATCTACATCTTGCACTTTACTATTTATTGATTAGTTAGTTGGATACTGTCAGGGCATTTGTGTATGTGACTCATTCGTCATGAAGGAGTGCTTCTGCTAAAAAAGGATGCACACCCACAGTCATCATACAAATAGGTGGTCTTAGCTTTGTGAACTAGCAGTGAGATTAATGGCTAGTGAAATAGCCCATCTGTTTATAGAATCAAGCTACCATGTCATGTTTGTCCTCAGAGACAGTGAACCCTATGGCTTGAGTATCTGGCAGATAAATGATCATCTTTTCCTTCTAAAGCTTGGTCATCAGTTGTTATTGTTTAATTTAATGGACTATGCCCTGGTTTCCATGCAGTGACATGAAAGGCAACAGGGGAGCTTGAGAACGGGGAAAATGAGAAGTAGCTTGAAAGAGAATTACTGTACATACAAGTCTTGGCTTGTCTGTCTGAATTACCTATGTAAAATTCAGGCATGGACAACACCCAAATAGCAAAGACATGTGCCCAGAATTTTTGAAATGACAGAATAATTTTTTTTTTTGCTTAGCAGTGATTTATTTCCTTTCTGGTTTTTTTTACATTCTGAGTCTGTTCTTCAGTTCACAATCTGTTTTTCCCACAGCATAACTGTGTCATTAACAAAGTAGAGCAATGGTTCAGTCTTTTTTCATTGCTCAGTCTGTGGTTGCCAAACATCATCATCAGGTCATGATTCCTTTGAAGAGAGGGCACCAGAATGCACACAGATTTCCAGAAGGTACAGACCCTGTCACAAGGAGCACCACCAGTTCCTGAATTAGGAATCCAGAGCTGTCCCCAGGATCTCTCAGGGTATTGGATCTGCTGTCCTCCTCCCTTTGCTGTGGCCTTACTCCAGGGCTCTGAGTGCTCAGTTTTCCACTCACATCCCACCCTGTTTAAAATTGGGTTAATGAGACTTCAGCCTGTCTGAGCTGTTACGAATTTTAGTTCATTCATATTTGTAAATAAAAGGAAATAATCTCATCTTGCTGAAGAGGAAGCAGGAGGATCAGATGATGCCAATAATCTTCTTTCTTCCTAGGCCAAGTAGTCTCTCTTACCTATACTTTTACAATCTGTATTAAGTGTGCAGCAGCTGCAGGAAATACAGAGGGTTTCATCCTGGCTGAAGGGCCACTGTGTGAGCTGTACCAGCTGAGCCACCCTTTTGGTGTCCCTGGGTGGCTTTCAGTCCCCTGGCCCCTGTGGGCACTCTGCAGGCAGGAGCCATGCCTCATGCCCAGCAAGAAAGTACAGAGGGGTGTGGATGTATTTGAACACACCCAGATGATGCTGCAAACTATGCCAAGTCTCAGGGCCCCTGAGATCCCCAAAACCTGCAGAGCTGTGTCCTTTGAAGCAAGACAAAAAGCTTGGACCTGATCCTGCTGCAGGTTCCTACCAGGATTCTCATGTACAGGCACAAGCATGACCAGGGGTAAAGAAGCATATGGTGACTTTTCATCCCCTTGGAGCTGCCTGGACTCCTGGCCACTGTGGAAGCAGAAATGGTCCTTAAAAATCTCCTGCAGTCTTCATCAGCTTCCCAAAGGGTCCTGTCATGCCATGTCCCCTTGGATCAAGCTTTCCTGCTCCTCCTGACCTGAGGGCTGTGCTGCCAACCTGCCCAGCAGCCCCCTTTCCTGTTTTTCCACTCTCATTTAGTTTACTTTCTGCTAAAAGTAGCATTCCTCAGATTTACAATGCAAAATACCCCTCAGACAGCACAAATACTTAGGAGTCTTGAATATGGGCAAAGGATAGGTGAAGGAGTGTAGGAGGATGCCCCCAATGAGAGAGGGGCAAACTAGCCTTTGTCTTTCAAAAAAGGAAGGAAGCTCAGAAGTTTCTCCTAACGATTAGGTGAAAAGCTACCTTATAGGACCCCTGAGACATCACTAAAACTTTGGGGTCACCTAATTGGATAGAAGGCAAAAGGTCCCGCTTGGCCCATAAGGT